CTTTCCATGAACAGCTGTGGGATTTCCTGGCTCTTTCTGGATCCCCATGTGCAGTTCCCAGAGCCTGCACCTCAGCCCCCTGCTACAGAGCCAAAGGCAAGTGTCTATTTCCCAGCCCGGGGAGCTTTGCCCCCCGCCACTTAGCACCAGCAACATGAAACCAGAATAGATACCATGAGCAGCCTGAGGTCCCCCCACTTCCCTCGTCCAAAATCGGGGACTACAGGTACCACCCTAGGAGAAGGTGCCTGATCTCCTTGCTGACCATGAGTGGAAAGGGAGCTGCTGGTGAACTGAAGCCTGGGGCTACAACATTCATTCCCTATAAACTTTTGGGGGCATCCACACACTTGGGATCCCTGTGGCCACCAAGGCTTTGTACCTTCAGATCCAGGTGCCTTTGGATTCCCAGCCTGGCCCTCCTCGCCCAGCCACCCAGCGCTTTCATTGGGTCAGGTCCCCGAAGCCCTGGGATGTCCTGGCCTCTCCCTGTCACTTCCTGCCTCACCTCCCTGTCCACCTGCCCTGGCAATGCCCACAAACTCAGGCCCAGAGTGTCTGCCAGGCCACTGCCAGAGACCTTCCTGGCTCCTTGGAGCGTGGCAGCAGCTCCCCAGGATCACCCTGGACACGATGGTCCCAGGACAGACAGGAAGCAATGTGCAGCTGAATTCCCACTCTGCCGTTAGCAAGCTCCTGGGACAGAGCCTGGGAGAAGTTCTTCCTGCAGTGTCTGTGGTGTGTTGGAAAAGATCAGGGTCTGGGCTGTAGTAAAACCAAACCCTGGGCAAGTCACTTCCTGAATGAAGCTAAGGAAGAGAAAGGTGTACGAGAAGCAGGTCTGGAATTAGAGCTAATGGAGGAAATATGGCCGGGACTCATCAGAATGCTCTCCTCTGTCTGTCCAGACAAAGGAGTCTGTCCAGACACTGTCTGTCCAGCCTGTCCACAGTTTGAAATTTCACCGTTAGTGATTGTTTCCCTTGGCAGACACCCCTGCATTGGCTTATTTTCCAAGTGGACTGCTATCAAAACCAATTAGGACACCAGGCTGGGCACCATGCACTCTTATCCTGTTACATCTCCCCTCGATACTGCAAGGTACCTCTTCATTATACCCATCTTAAAGCTGAGGACACTGAAGCTCACAGAGTTTAGGGAACTGACCCAAACTCTCACTAGTGGGGTTTTCCAGATCTGATCTCAACTCTAGTGAGCACAGAGAATGATAGGGAGCAGAGAGGAGTCCTTAAGTTAAAAGGAGGCTGCACAAGGGGCTTAGCTCAGCAGCAACAAGCACCTGCCTGGCAGATTGTGTTTGATCCCTGGTCCAGGGAAATGCACCAGGAGGTGTCAAGGTGGTTTAATACTGGCTTGAACACATGGGGTCCCAGGTGCTAACACCCTGGGCTGCCCTGGAATGTGCAAGTGAAGCATAGTAAGGCACCCTATCTTGGCCTGTCCTCATCCACCCCGTCCACATGGGATTTGCAGAATCAGAACCTTGAGCTCTGAGACAGATGCTTTCTCCAGAAATGCTGAGATTTCGGTTCAGTTCTTGTCCAGGTGGTAGTGTGCAGACGGGCGGCCCAGCAGGGAGCATGCTGTTGGGCACCTGGGCCCTGGCGAGGTTGAAGGACCAGGTCACTTTGCCAAGGCCCCATACAGGGGAGCCTGATGATTTGTCCCCCAAGCCTATCAGAGTGACCTCTGAGAGTTGCTGTTTGGCACCCAGCAAGAATCCAAGTGTTGATGTCACGAGCCCTAAACAGGAAGCAAGTGTTCAAGTTGCCAGGATCTGCTTCCTCCACTGCTGCAGAACGACTGAAGTTTCCAGGATGAGAAGAAATGGCCGGGCCCACAGAGTCAGAAAGGCCGACTGCTGGCTCCTTTTCTGTGCTGAGAAGCAGCAATGGTGGAGTACAGCATCCAGTTGTGTGCGTCTGCATCTCCTGCCACCACACTCCCCACTGCAGGAGCTCCCCAGAAAGGGGGAAAAGGGGAGAAGGAGCAGAAATTGTTAGTGTCAGAAGATAAATGTGGTCTCCAACGTGGTGACTTTTAACTGCTCCCACCATGCTGCCACTTCAGGGCTCCCCAGTCAGCATGGCCCAAAAAGTTCCATCAGGATCTGCCCAGGGCACACTGTTGAAAAGAATCTGACCCCACACAGGCTGCAATTGATTGGTTCTGTCTGCCTTGGTCAAGGATACTCCCCATCCCTCATCTACAAGCTGGGTGACTTTTCGTGAACAGGGGACAATTCCCCTGTCAGGACTTTGGCAGCTGAGAAGGAGACCCTGGATACCAGGCTGCACAAAAACCTCCAGACTCTTCACTAGATTCCTCGAGACCTTAAAAAGCACCTCTTGGCCTGTTATTCTGCAATATGCCCTTTTCTGAAAGTATTAATGTTGGTTGTATTACAAAACATTTTCTAAAGTAGAAACACATTATGAAGTTAATTGCTCCTCTGTGAAAATGACTGAATCTTTCTTTCTCAGTGGGCAGCCAAAGGAAGGTCTACCTGTTACTGGAAGGAACCTGACACCCATCTTTTGAGGAAGGGCACACAGGCCTCAGGACTGTGCTCTGGGATAGAGTTTGCAGATCACTTCCCATGATGCTTTGCTCCAAAAGCCCAAATGATTTGTGGATTCCGGGCCACTTCATTTGGACACCTTGATATGTCTGCAGGGTACTGGGAAGGTAGAGGTACCTCCAGATGGCATAGTAGTGAGTACCAGCACCAAATGCCACAAACAGATGCCAGATGAAATGGGCAAAGAGGTTCATGCTGTCATTCTTGAAGAATACCATGCCCAAGCAGTAGAAGACCCCTCCAGTCATCAGCTCCCAGGTGCCTTCAGTGTTGGGCTGTCAGTAAGGACAAGTATAGTGCACAAGTCAGAGGAGCAGCCAGCTACTCTCCCACTCCCCAGAGTAAAAGACACATAGGTCTTTTACTATGTGTAAATGAACCAGCCCAGAGTCCCTGAGGGGAGTCTCAACATTGTGATGTTTTCAGGTCTTCCCATATTATTTCACAAATGTACCATGTTTCTATCAAAATCTCAAGGAATACATCTATGGATTTTATATTTTTTAAACTGTACCTCATCTGATTAAAACCCGAAGAACTGACAGCAGCACCTCGAACAGGTGTTTGCACACCATGCTCACAGCAACGTTACTCACAGGAGCCAAGAACTAGAAGCAGCCCAGGCATCCATCAGTGTGAATGAGTGTAGAAACAAAGGTAGTATACACGTGCGGTGGGATGTTCAGCCTAGAGAAGGAAGGTCATTCTGACACCTGCGACAACATCGATGAAACTTGAAGACATGATGCCCAGTGAAATAAGCAACTACACAAAGGATACAGATGGGAAAAGTTCGTTTCTGTGAGGTGCCCACAGTGACAGAAAGTAGAAAGTGCTATCAGGGGCTGGAAAGAGGGCAGAGGAGCTGTCCTTTGATGGTATGGAGCTCAGATTGCAGAATGAAAACTGTCCTGTGGATGGATCGTAGAGTTGGTTGAATGATATTCTGAACACACTTCATGCTTCTGGATTATAAAGTAACTGATGTCCATGGTTAAAAAGTAGAAAATAGAGAAAAGACAGCAGGAAAAAAATAGTATCCATAAGCCCCAGATGTGAGCACCCACTGCAGGCTGGTTTGGGGAAAAGAACCTGAGCAGGCCAAGCAGGACACGAGCAAGAAGAGCCCAGCCCCTTCCCCAGCTGGGAGATGCAGCCACCATTAAGAGCATCTCCCACTAGCCTTCCAGAGTTTTCCTCACACTCACAATATGCAGCACACTCAGCCAGGGATGGTGGCACACACTTGTAACCCCAGCACTCAGGAGGCTGAGGCAGGAGGATTGACACCAGTTCAAGACCTGCCTGAGATACATTGTGAGTTCAAGGCCAGCATGAACTATAGAGCAAGACCTCGTCTCAAAAAATAATAAACAAATAAATACAGTGAGCAGCATGTTCCTTGTCACATGGACAAGCACACGAAAGCATCGTGTTTAGGCAGGTGCACCCGGCACCCCTATCATCCTGCAGACAGCTGAATTGTCCACTAAGCAGAGTCTCTCAGAGCTCAGACAGACAGACAGACAGACAGACAGATCCTGCTCAGTCTTGTCTCCACTGTGCATGTGTGATCATCACCGCACAACAAGGTATCCCTAGTCATCGAGAATCCCCACTGGACGTTAAGGCTACAATAGTAGCAGCACCAGGTGTCCCAGCACTCGCACTGGGCCAGGCCCCTATTTGTGCCTTACCTGAATTGCAGTGTCATCTTTACAGTCCATTTTTTGTTTGTTTGTTTGTACTTTTTTTTTGTCTTTTTCCTTTTTATTGGTACTGGGGATCGAACTCACGACTACCTGCTTGCAAGGCAGGCGCTTATGCCGCTGAGCTAAATCCCCAGGCCCCACCTTTACAGTCTTAAGAGGTGGCCGTTCCACTGTGGACAGCCACGGAAAAAAGGGACCACAAGAGGGCAGAGAAATGCATGCTGCAGAATGGCCCAGGAAATTAAACTGTCAGTGTCTGCCTGCACATCCCCATATATTTGCGTTTCAATTGTATTTTATTTATTTATTTATATTTCCTGGGGATTAAATCCAGGACTTTCAACCGAGCTACATGCCCAGCACTTTTTTACTTTTATTTTGAGACAAGTTCTCACTAAATTCCTAAATTTCCCACATAGGGCCCAAACTCTGCCTCAGCCTCCCCGAGTGTTGAGATTAAGGGGTGCACCGCCACACCTGGCTGCCACCTACATTTTTTAAATGCAGGACTGGGTGGCAGAGCAGCTGCCTCGCATGTATGAGGGCCTGACCCTCACACTAAAAAAACTCACTAAATAAATTTTTAACAGAAAAAATGTGCACAAAACAAGCTATTATTAATCACAACTGAGCATCATATTGGGAAGGAAGTGAGAGCGCATTTTTATACATATATTGAGAGAACATATGATTAAATATACATTTATTATACGTACATATGTGTGTGTAAACATTTCATACATGATATGATGAATGTCTTCCAACTTGATAGCTATAACACATACGCTTACCTAAAAGTAACTTGGAGGGAGAAAGACAATCTGGAGCATAAATACAAGTCCAAAGGGACAGCGGGAAGTGACAGGGGAGAAAGGCGGGACCAGAGTGCACTGCCAAAGACCAACGTGCAGTGAGGCCACGTCGGGAAACAGCTGCAGCCTTGCACAAGAATAGGCCAAGGCTGGGGCCGCAGCTCCACAGCACAGCGCTCACCTCGCGCAGGCGAGGTCCCGGCCCGGATTCCCCAGCAGAGCAGAGCACAGCCAGGCTGCGTGATGAGAGCCGCTTGTGCATGTGAATTTCACGAAAGGTGAAGGAGATCGGTGGCTGGTCATGCGGAGAGTAAGACCATATCCAAACAAAACTGGCCTGGGAGTAAAAAAGTGAAAACCACAGAGAAAACTACAAAAAAAGCAGGAGCTTCCAGGCACGGTAGCACAAGCCTGTAACTCCAGCACTCTGGGAAACTGAGGCAGGAGGCTCGTAGACTCAAGTCCAACCTGGGCAACTTAGTGACTTACAAGACCGTATCTTGAAGTTTAAAAATATGGAAAAGAGCTAAGGAGGTAGCTCAGTGTGAAGGCCCCCAGTTAAATGCCCAGTGGGGGAAAAAAAAAAAAAAGGAGAAACCATAGGTAGCTGTTTAGACAGCTCGGAAACTTGCAAGAGGAAGACTTTCCCATCTGACACTGAAAGGAACATGACGCCTGACCGTTCTGTTTTTAAAATCTGTTAGGCTTGACTACATTTATCAATAATAATGACTTAAAAATAATAACTGTCTAGCTGGGGCTTGCTTACTATGTAGAAGTCCCCCGGCACCACACACACACACACACACACACACATGCACACACGCACGTTAAGTACAAATGCAGTGACTCAGGCCGCCAGGACCCCAACACCCAGTTGGGGAGAGGGGGCCCCACTCCACCCAGCTGCCCCAAGCCTGGACTGGCCTCTCCCCTCTCAGAGCCTGGTGTCCTCACCCATGAACTAGGGATGTCACCTCCACCTCCAAGGGATGGGATGCCTAGGATGGTTCAGAGTGCAGAGACACGGAAAAGAGGAAGTTAGCACACAGCTCAGCCCCCAAAGCCAATTACATTCCTCTCCTTTCCGGGGCTGGGGATGGAACCCAGGGCCTCTCCGTGTGAGGCAATGCTGGGCTCCGCCCTGGTCCTTTCTGTCCTATTTTACCTACTCTCCTCACTTTCCGCGCTGGTCCTGGCTGGCAATCCAGGTCTAACATATAAGGCATTGCTTATTGTCAAGGTATAAGCTTTAGGGTCAGAGATCCTGAATTTTGCTTTTGTTCTTGCCATGCTGGGTAAGGAAGCCGAGGCCTCATACAGGCGAGCAAAGCTCTGTACCCCTGAGCTGCCCCCAGCTCTGTGTCCTCCTGAGGGACCCAGTTTTGTGAATTATCTTCCCACTGTGCTCCAGATACACTCTGATTGCTGCGCGCAGATGTTCTCATAGCCAAGAAGGCAGAAGTGCAGGGGCTGGAGGGCTCTCTCGGGGCCAGGCAGAGAGGGGTGAAAGAGAGCCTGCAGGTCCCTAAGCGTGAACCTCCATGTTCTCCTGCCCTTGGAGCTAAGTCTCCCTGACCCACTGAACCTCAGTTTCCCTAGTTGCCAAAAGAAACACTCTTGAGAGTCAGGTGGCACTTGGACACTCCCGCACCCTCCTGGGGTCCACACAGAGGCGGGGACGGGACTTACCATGGAGAGGACGACCAGGGCCGGGAAAAAGCCCACCACCACGTAGCATAGGAGCTCCACTAGTTTGTACCTGGCAGGAAGACAAGCCGCGGTGGCCTCAGGACAAGCCCCTCAGTGAGGAAACAGCACACAGCTCCCCGATGCTGAGGAGAAGCGGATACCCTGATGGGGACACTGAGAGGAAGGGGCTCTAGGCAGCATCCCTGGGCCCAGAATCCACCCAAATCTTTCTTTCTTTCTTTCTTTCTTAGATACAGGGTTTCACTATGCAGTTCAGACTGGCCTTGAACTCACTTTGTAGCCCAGGCTGGCCTCAAACTTCCAGTGATCCTCCTGCTTCAGCCTCCCCAGGGCTGGAATTCCAGGCATGCACTACCACACCTGGAAGAGCCACAAATCCCCCAGGACTGGTGAGTAAGGTGGGCCGGGGCACAGCGTCATGTTTATGAGCCTGCTTGTCGGTTGGATGGCACTGGATAGCAGCGTGCGCTGTGTTTTTATCACACCCTGCAAAGACAATTAGGAAAGAGGATTTCCAGAGCTGCTTCAGAAAGCGGAAAGAAGGACCAGAGGAGGGTGTTCAGAGTGAGGAGGAGCGTTCTGAGGAAATGAAGAGCAATGCATCTCTAACTGTAATAATGTTTAAAATCCAAACATTCACCCTATATTTCTGTCCCATCTGTAGCAGCCGTGTGGATGCTACAAAGGCTCAGCCCAGGGCAGACATCACTGTTTGATCCCTGCCTCTTCCCCCACAGGGCTACGCAGCTGCTCTTGATCGCATGCAGTTGCCTAATCACCTGATCTCCATTTGCTCCAGCAGTAGATCTAGGTAGAGCTGCACACTCACTTTTCTGGGATCACCCTGGGGTCTCGCCCACCCTGCAGGAGGAAGTCCTGCTGGGGATTCAAGAAGCACCTCACCCATCTGAGACCCTGGCCCCAGCTTACCGCTCATGGCAAAAGAAGACATCGACAGTGCCAACAGAGGCCATAATCCAAACCAGCCAGCGCATGTGGGAGGCCCAGGGGCCCAGCTCCCGAAGGTTCAGCCTAGGAGAGAGAGAACCCAGGACACAGCATGAGCGGCCATTGGACTCGGCCCTTCACAGCCGCCTGTCATCAGAGCTGACCCCAGAGGTGCCCTGTCCCTTGGGCCGCACAGGATCCAGCGGCTCTGTGGGGAGGCTGAGGAGCGGGGCAGAAGGGTCCCCAGCAAACTACAGCAGCTACAGGCTGAGCATCCTTATCCAAACGCTTGGGGCCAGATGGGTTTCAGATTTGGACTTTTTCAGATTTGGAGACGTCAGCATGTACACGATGAGACACCTTGATGATGGCACCGGAGAAGTTTATTTGTGCCCCAAATAAACATTGTCCACACACTGCCAAAGGTGCTTTTCTACAGTATTTTTAGTACACTTGTGTTTTGAGTGTGTCCCACTCGTGAGGCCCGGGATGGAAGTTTCCACTCACGATGTCCCAGCAGTATTCCAAAAGTTTCAAATTTCGGAACATTTTGGGTTTTAAATGTGCTTAACCTGTATTAGAAGAAAATCAGCAAAAATGTTGTAAATGTGGAAGGGAGGAGGAGCCAGAGACGTGAGGAGGCAGGGAGGGAACCACAGACCTGGATGAGACTGCAAACTACGAAGAAGGGCGGGCAAAATAAGCATAGCATCCGCCTTAAATACAAACAAACAAAACCCCCACGGTGCCCAGTATTATCCATCTGTGCTGCTTATCAATCTTTTGCCTCAAAGCTCCAAGTCTACTCAGTTGGCTTTGGAACACAGTCTTTCTGCGAAGGAGGTGCAATGCTACATTTTAGCGATAGGTGGCGCTGGAGAGAGGTTCTTCCTCCAGGTTTCCCGAGCTCTCCAGCCAGGCCCCTGAGAGCCAGCTTTCCTCTGGCTCGGTCAGTCCTGCGCGTCCCCCAGCGCTGGGTGCCTGCAGGGCGCAGCTTTCTCCCGCATGTGGTCTTGAGCTGCAGTCTTGGTACCAGCAGGCGCGAGCCTGAGGCCTGACAGCCACTCCGGCACCCTTTCGTCAGCCCCACATGCAAGCTGCTGACTGCAGAGATCCACGCTCAAGGTCCCTCTTAGGGGCCTCTCCCAGTGCTGGGGCCGGAGTCCCCCTAACATGGAGCAGACGCTAAGGCTGAGCACGCCCTGTGAACGCCTCGCCCCCGAGCGCTCAGCTGCGCTCCCCAGCATGCCACCCCAAACAAGGTGGGGTCTCACGCAGGCAGGAGAATGCCCCTCTGCTGCTTTCTGTGCACCCACCGCTGCGACCTCCCATCAATAGTCCTTGGTATTCGGACTGGGGGTGTAGCTTGTGGTAAGCACACAAGAGGCCCTCGGTTCAACCCCCAGTACCCCCCCCCCCATTCTTGATATTGGGTTTTCCTTGCTCAAATCACTTTGTGATTTCTGCCTTCTGCCCACATCCGGCCTACCACACCACTGTGATTCAGAGACCTTTAAAAATATGAGGACAACCTGATTGAGCCAATATGGATAAATGTCCAAGGCATACTAGCCAGTGTCGGGGGAGAGGTGCATGAATTGAGAATGAGATGACTTGTGCACTATTTTTACACAAGAAGGAAGTAGTGAAAACACACAGAAAAGGTCTGAGCCCTTCTCCAAGTAGTTTTGTATGTAAAAGGACAGTTCCTGGTGGTGCCATTAGTTGGGGACAGGATTAGGGTTGGGTTGGGGAAACGAGGTCCTTTGTTTCTTGAATGAATTCCTTTAATGGGAGTCTTAATGGTAAGACTTCTGAAAAAAATTGACCTCTTGCTCAGAGTCCAATTTGTCACTATGAAGGGGTTACCAGCTGGACATGGTAGCTCATGCCTGTAGTTCTAGCTCTGGGGAAGCTGAAGCAGGAAGCTTTCTTGAGCCTGGGAGTTCAGGATCAGCCTGGGCAATATAGTGAGACTCTATCTCAAAAAACAAAACAAAACAAAAGTGTGGCAAAGTAAATCAGTGGAACACTGCTCTTCTAGCAAGTTATGAAGCCTGGATTCAATCCTCAAGGCAACAAAGTAACATGAAAAGTTAAGAATAATCCATCTCATTATTCAAAATAAGCAAGATGACTTTAGATGTCTTTCCAAGCAGATATAAAAGCGAGCCAGCCAGGTGTGGTAACACATGCCTATAATCCCAGCACTCAGGAAGCTGAGGCAGGAAAACTGCCAGGAATTCAAGGCCAGTTTGGGCTACATGGTGAAATCAAGGACAGCCTCAGCTACACAGTGAGACCCTGTCTCAAAAAGAAATGAACCAACAAACAGCAGATCAGCGGACAGGAGGGTGGGTATTAACATGGGATGAACAGAAGGCAAGAGAAGAGGGACAAAAGGGTGGACGGAAATAAAGCAATGGAGAAAGGTGAGAGTCAAATTTACACATGTCAGTTTTATTAACTAGACACAGTGATACACACTTGTGACCCCAGCACTCTGCCCAGACTGAAAAACTTAGCAACCTAGCAAGACCCTATCACAAAATAAAAGACAAAAAAAGAAAAGGATGGGGCTGCAGCTCGGTGTGAAGGCCCTGGGTTCAATCTCCAGTACTGCAAAACGTAAAGTAAATTAAATCAAATTATTACATTTGATTTTAACTCGACTTTAACAAAAGAAAATACAACCTAACAAAATGGTTAGTTCAACTTCAAACAAATGTGTCTCCAACATAAATTTTACTTTGACTCTAAAAACAAGGAGGTCAACTATGTAAAGCATAAAGATGTTGTATTTTCTTGCTATATGTTTCCAGGGTCAGAGCTGTCCATCGAGTCCCCCATATAAGACACAAGCTGGACGTGGTGGCACAGCCTGTAGCCTCAGAACTCTGGGAGGCTGAAGCAGGAAGATTGCAAGGTTGAGCCCAGTCTGGACAACTTAGTGACTCACCAAGGTTTTGTCTCAAGATATAAAAAATGAAAGACTATGCTGTAGGTCAGTGTAAGGGCCCTGAGCTCAGCTCCTAGTAATGAGAGCTGAGAGACAGACAGACAGACAGACAGACACACACACACACACACACACACACACACACACACACACACACACAGAATGGATCAGCATCCCCACACTTCCCCACCTTTTCTCTAAATCATCATTCCTTACAGATACCGGTATTTTACAGTCTCAGGTGTAATAATAACGTCTTGTTCTGTGACTGTGATTCACACAACTGTCTAACATTGGTTCTTTTTAAACGGAGTCCACACTCACTACCATTTTTGAGATACAGGTAGGTAGATACTGCGGATTGAACCCAGGGCCTTTGCACTGAGCTACACCCCCAGCCCCTTTTTATTTCTGAGGCAGGGTCTCATAAAGTCACACATACCATAGTCAGACTTACAATCCCCCGGCTCAGCCTCCCAGAGTTCTGGGGTTACCCGGCATGCACAGTGTCCATCTAATCGGCTAGGTTTTGTTATCAAGGCATTTTTTTTGGCAAAGCCTCTCAAAGGTACTGTATGCCCTGATTCCTTTCCTGTGTGACAATGGTTTTCTATGGTTTCACTGCGGTTTCCTGTGTGACAGCCTCACTAGACAGCTTGTCCTGAGGTCTACCTTTGGGAAACTGTGCAAGTGTTCCCACGGTGTTCAGCATGAAAGAGGGCTGTGGTCACAATCAGCGGTCACATTTTTCTCCTTTCCTAAGAGTGTTCTCAGTTTCCACGCCCCAAGAACGGGACTCCGTCTTTCATGTTATTAATTTCTCTCTGACTGACGTAAGTCTTGACTATTTAAAAATGTGTGCATTCTCTCAGATAACCCACACCTGACTCTAGTTCCATGCTGTGCTGCGAGTTGTCTGTATTCGTCCAGCACGATGCGGCTTTGCTCTTCGGTTTGTCCCTTTAGGTGTGTGGTGACCATCTTCATTTCCTCGGATCTGTGCTCTTGTTTAACTGGACTCACTTTTCACAAACAGATACAAGTTCTCGTTCTTCTTCAGACCCGGAACGCAGGAGAAGCTGGAGCACGAAGCAGATGACAGGCGGGGACGGAGTCTGAGCCTGTCACTGCCTCCAACCCCGGTGACACAGGAGGAGGATGGAGGTGACCAGCAGAAGCTCGAGACAGCACGGAACATGCACTTGTCCCACTCCCAGAGGAGCTGGAGGAGAGACCCCCGTCCTCGGTCACTGTTGCAAAGAACGTGCGCGAGGGCCTGGGCATCGCCCACCAGATGGCGCTGTCTCTCTTCCGCCCTTTCGGGACTGGGCGTGAACAGCCTCGCCACTGCCCAGCAGAGGGCGCTGTCTCTCGTCCCATTTGGAACAAGGCAAGAAACAAAATTCTGAAAATCCGCAAAGCCAAGCGCTCCAACGCCGCCCTGGCTGTAAAGCTCAGCCGGGCCCCTGGAGCCGCACCCCTGCCCATGTCACCGTGCCACCTTCCCGAGGAGCCTTCTCCAGGGTCCCTCGGTCAGCAGAAAGGGCCCCAGGAGCCCTCCGCAGGGGGAGCCCTCTGCTGCCCACTCTGCCCAGAGCCTCCAGACCCTGAAACCTCAGTGCTGGGCCGTGTTCATCTCCCCGTCCACAGGTGGACACTGATTTGTCTTTTGCTTTCCCCAACAATTACACTTATGCTGGTTTCCTTAAACTTCGGGGAAGGGGGAGTCTGTCCCCGTTGGTTTCACCACTTTTTCTGCACTCTGCCCTGGCACACCGGGGTGTGTGCTAGACCGTGGACCTTCACAACGCAGGCACAAGCCGGCGCTTGAACCCAGAGCCACGTCTCCAGCCCTTTTGTGCTTTTTACCTCGAGACAGGCTCTCACTGAGTTACTGACTTGCCTGAACTGGGCTTGAACTTGGGGTCCTCCTGCCTCAGCCTCCCTGAGGACTGGGATCACAGGCCTTGGCCACCTTGACACCTGCGCTGGGACAGTCCACTTTTACCTCACTGTCCTCACGGCAGCTGGGGGCAAGGAGAGTGGCTACCCTATCTCCATTTTAGAGATCAGAAAACAGGAGTTTTCTGAAAGGCACACAGGAGGCTGACCCGGGCCCAGAATGCCAGCTGTACCATTATTTCCAGAATTTTCTCTCTCTGCCATGCCACGGCCTTTCAAGGCTTTTGAATTCACACAGCACTCTGAGTATCTGCCTTTAGAGAAGCATGGTGGCCGCACCTGTAATCTCAACACCTAGGAGGCTGAGGCAGGAGGATCAGGAGTTTGAAGTCAGTCTGGGCTACACAGCGAGTTCAAGACCAGATTCTTCAGTGGGTTCCAGGCTTTCAACTTTCAACTGGATCTTCCAGCCCTGGCTTGCAGTGGTCCCTTTACGTTCTTCAGCCCAGCTCTGCAGGCAGCCACCCTGAGCTACCTTGTGAGCCTTTATACGTCACATACACTGCACACTAACTCTGGTCTTCTAGTGAACCCTGACACGCACACACACACACACACACACATTTCCTTTTTGTGCATCAAATATATCTAGAAGGGCACAAGAAACCGGCAAAGAGTAGCTGGCTCCTGGCAGGGAAACAGATGGGGAGACTCCCCATCTCCCAGTTCCCCCCACCCAGCGGAGACTCAATGACAAGGTCAGGAAGCAGTGGCAGCAGGACTCACCAGGGCGCGTAGGAGGCCGCGATGAAGAAGTAGATGACCATGCGGTCGACCATGTGCAAGCAGTGCTCCACCATCCTGGGAGGCAGAGAGGGTGGTCACGGCCCCAGGCAGCAGGAAAGGGCTGGGGGCCCTGTGCCCAGCCCAGGAGTGCAGTACCTCCCCCATGCAAGAGGGCCTGGGCTCAGGCAGGCTCTCCTCCCCCAGTCACAACCCTTCTGCCTCAATTTCCCCCTCTGTCAGTGACCAGAGTGGAGGGAATCAAGCCAGACTCCTCACCATTCTGGGGGCCATGTGGAGAGGGCTTGGGGTCCCACTGAAGTGACTGCTTACCTGTCCCTGGGCCTCAATCAGAGCTGCTCTGTGTTTCAGTTTGGTAACCTGGGCTTCCCAAAGGCTTTCATTTGGAAAAGAATCCTATGGCTCAAAACTGCAGACTGGGGCTGCAGCCAAGAAACTACAGCCACTCAGAAGCGTGGGGGCACTGACTCATTCCCAGACGTTTCTGCCTCTGTGAACCGGGGCCACCAGCAACCAGGTCACAGGCTTGCAGAGGATGACGTGAGCCAGCGCTCAGCATGGCATGTGGGAGCCGGTCAGTGAATGCCAGCTCTTCCACCACCTACCCCTGCAATGAGCTGTGGCCTCTGTGCACGTGGCCGGTTCACAGATGGCCTCCAGGTTGGTGTTCATGCCCTGCTCTGAGGCTCCCATCTTACCCTGTTCCCACTCACAGCAGACAGGGCAGCCTTCTGGAGCAACAGGCTAGACCCCAATGTCACACGGCATCTGCCACTAGCTTTGGGGAACACCAGCCAGCCCATGGCTGCAGGGAGGCCCAGCTGGAGATGCACTGAGGTCCCCAAACATCCAGCACCACCTCTCAGCCAGGGGAGGAGCCACCTGGGAAATGGACACCCCGATGACAGCCAACATCTGGCTGCAGGAGGCACCCCAAGCCACAGTCCACCACATCTGACCCTCTGAGGCCTCAAAAGATAGCAAGCATTTCTTGTTATTTTCAGCCACCACATTTTGGGGGTATTTTTGTTACACAGCAATAGAGGACTAATACAAACTGTGATTCAGCCCAATGAACTGACCAATGATGCTACGCGTAGTCCAACCACACGTGTCTCTGACAACAATGACAATGGCTGACAGGTGCAGCCCAAGCTGCCAGTGCAGAGCTGCTGTGAGGCCTTTACCAGCAGTGACCCCAACCCTGCCTACCAGGGAGGGGCCACCATCTCACCTGCCCTCCCAGGTGAGGACAATGGCCACAAGTCTGGGAATCGGACCCTAAAGCCAATGGCTGCATCTTCATAAGAGAACAGAGCGGGGGACATGGACCCCAGACACTGAGGGAGGCCAGGCGAGGTGAGGCAGAGGCTGCAGCAACACAGTCACAGCCTAGGGCTGCCGGGAGCCAGCAGGAGCCGGCAGGGCAGCAAGGGTCCTTCCTGCAGCCCGGAGGGAGCGTGATCCTGCCCACACCTCGCTCCCAGACTTCTGCCCGCGGAACTGGGAGGAGCTCAAGAAGGACCCCAAAGGGAGAGAACCTTGGGGAACAGGGAGAGGGCGGAGCACACTGTGGGGCCCAGGATCCTGCAAGCAGCTCTGGCCCAGACACAGCCGCTGTGACTCAAGACCCCTCCCTTGGGGGCCTCACTACACAGGCCTGGAGGGTGTCCTGTGAAGTGAAACAGGCCGTCCCGCCACCCTGTGCCACCAAGTTCCAAGAGACAGAGCAGAGGTGTGGGGCGGGGCAGGGTGCACAGGGAGTTGGTGTCTGCCAAGCACAGAGTCCAGTTTGGGCAGTGGTGGGGGCCATGAATGTGCCCAGTGGCCCTGCACTGACGAGGGGTTAAGGTAGCAGACTGTAGACTGATCTTCTGCTTGTCTTGAAATCTTAAAAATTAAAAGCAAAACAAATCAAGGTTTTAAAAACCAGGAATTTGGCCAGGCATGATAGTGCACACCTGTAATCCCAGGAAGCTGAGGCAAGAGGATCGCTTGGAGTTCAAGGCCAGCCTGAACCGCATAGTGAGACTGGCTCAAAAAAAAAAAAAAAAAAAAAATCAATCAGGGATTCTCTTGAAAAGACTGGGGAAGGACATCTGGACAGCGCTGGGACCCAGGAGGTGGTCAGGAGGGTTACAGCAGGGCCTGTAGGGTCCCTTGCTGTCCTCTAGGGCTGAGCAGATGGAGAGGCTCTTGGGGGGCTGCTCAGTCCCAGCACCCTGAAGATACCCCAGAGTCACCCCCTCCTCGGTCCCCTCTGCAGACTCAGTATCCTGCCCCATGCGGGCAGGTGTCCCCTCTGGGGCCGGCCGGGACATACCTGAGGTGGCTCTTCTTCCAGGAGATGGTGTGGAACACGGTGGACACCACGAAGAGCCCGCAGAGACCCAGGCTGTAGATCCAGGCGGAAATGGTCTCCCAGTCATCGTCGGACAGGAAGTAGAGGTTGGAGCCGCCGAGGATGCTGGGGAGGATCCAGAACTGTGGGAAGGGACAGCTGCAGGGGCGTCGCACGCAGGGACAGGGCCCGCATCCTGCTTTCCTCCAGACCAGACTGTGCCACTAGACCAGACTGCAGCCACCAGGTGGCCACGGGGCACAAGAAGGCAGCCAGGGCCACTGAAGAACGGAGTCCATGAACATGGCCCGCACTAAATGATTTTATCTGAATTCTAGGGCTGGAGGCTGTGTGGACCCTGCAGGGTGCGCGGACTGCAGCCAGGTCACAGCTGGCGCCCGGGCCCCACACAGAGGAGCCCGACGGGTGCTGCATGTCCATGTCACCTGGCGGTCACTGACATTCATGCCTTGCCTCCTGAAAGTCCCCCAACTGCAGTGCTATGTCTGGACCAGCTCCAGTGTGGGCCCAGCTCTGTCAGTAAGGAGTTAGACAGCCATGCCTGCGGTGGGAGCGGCTCAGCGTGGCGCCCTGTCCCCCGCCTCTCCAGATGCCCGCTGGCCTCCCCCCTCGCTCCACCCTCCTCTGCTCTGCCCAGGGCTCCGTGCTGTGCTGCACCTCACAGAGGCTGTGCCTGGTGACAGCCTCACCCCGTGTGGGGGCGCAATGGCTCCCTCCACCCCTTGCCCGCCCTGTCACTCCGCAGAGGTGCCTCCTCGCCCTCCCCGCATGATCCCTGTCCCTGTCCCTGTCCCTGGTCCCTGCCTTGCTGACCTACTTCCTCAGGGTTACCAGGTCTCGTGAGCCTTTAATGAACATGTGCCCAAGGAAGGAAGGAAGGAAGGAAGGAAGGAAGGCCGGACGGACGGACGGAAGGAAGGACGGACAGACGGAAGGGAGAAAAACGAATACCAAAAACCTGAGAGGGGGAGGAGCAGGCACGTGGAGAGTCCAGCCCCAATAGTGTGCGGCCTCTGGGATCCCCTGGAAAATACTCCCTGGAAAGCGGGGTGCTAGAGGGACCCGCGGGCCTCGGTGGCACCCACTGCCAGGACAGGGGCAGGGGGAGGTGGCAGCTCCCAAACCAAAGGCCGCCACCAGCCCTCGGCCAGCTGCTCAGCACGGACTGAACATCTGGCAGACAGAAGGGAGGAAGGGGACAGATTGGGGTTGGGGGGAAGGTACAGGGACTGAACCCAGGGCTTTCACCCTGAGCTACACCCAAGCCTTTTTTTTTTTTTTTGAGTGCTTGCTTGGGCAGCACGTGTATCTAAAATATTTTTTGATTTCGAGACAATGTCTTACTAAGTTGCTTAAGCGGGCTCCAACTTCTGTTCCTCCTGCTTCAGCCTCCCGGAGTGCTGGGAGCACAGGCATGTGCCACCTCACCCGGCTCAGGGACAGTGCTACAAACACTTAGAAATGACTTCCTTGTATCTGACTGTATGCTTTAAAAAGTGCACGGGGATCACGTCCCTGAGGGGGGGAGCAGAGCCCCCGCAGGCCGCCACCTGGTCTTCTCTGAGGCTCCCACGTCATCTGGCGTACCTAGGCCCTCTCATCTGCCTCCTTTTCTCCTCCCTCCTCCCCCTTCCTTCCCGGCCTCCCTCCCTCCATGAGCCCTGAGCACAGCTCTGTCCTGGCAGAGGCAGATCAGAGCTGCTGCCATCACCCTGTCCCCACCCCGTGCTCAGGGCGAGCTGCACAGGCACAGCACCAAGCGTGGGGTCGTGTGCATCTGTGTCTGCGGGCTCCTCAGCCCCTGGCTCCTGGTGACTGCAGGATCAACTGCCACCTCAGGGAGGGAGCCCGACCCAGGAGGCCACAGGGTGGCACCAATGCCTTGGGCGGCACTCACACAACCCTGGGGGGGGTGGCATACACCCATTCTCAGATGAGGAGAGTGAGGTTTAGAGCTGCATGGTCACAGAGTTGGGATTCGGGGAGAGATGCTCTGGGGGTGGCTGTGAGAAATCAGCTTATCTGAGAACCACATGGTCACCCCTCAGGTGCTCTGGGGGCCGGGGGCAGGGTGAGCACCACAGAGGGGCTCCTGCTCCAAGGGAGTGAGCAGGATAAGCAGACACAGAGCTGGACAAGTGTGGGTCTGTGATCCCAGCACTCTGGGAGGCTGAGGCAGGAGGACCCCAAGTTCAAGCCCAGACTGAGCAATTTAACAAGTCCCAGGGTCCAAATAACAAATAAAACGGGCTGGAATTAGCTCAGTAGCAGAGCCTGGGTCTGCTCCCACCACACAAAGAAAGGGAGGAAGGCAGGGCACAGGAAGCCTGGGCTCATCTGAACTTCACTGTGGGCGGGCTCAGCAGCATCCATCCATGGCAGGCGTGTTCCTCCTGAGATACTGAGTCGCCCCACACCTGCACTGCCAGGGCCTGGAGCAGAGCCCGGTGCCTCGAGGGAGGAGGAAAGATTTGCTGACTGACTGATGAATGGACCGGTCCCTCCACCTAGGCGTACAGGTCAGGGGGTAGGGGAGTTGGAGGGGATGGTCTCAGGGCTCCCCAGCAGCTGGGCCAGTGGGAAGGCTTCTGGGGAACATCTCCGTAAGGCTGTGAAACACAAAGAGGGCTTCACAGATGAGGCTGGGGTGGAGAGGAAAAGTATTCCAGGCATGGGCACAGCACGTGCAAAGGAAACAGGAGTGGGCGACCTGTGACCCCAGGGACGAGAGTGTGGAAGCAAGAGCAGGACACACAGGTCAGACCTGCCTGAGTGTGTGCTGTGTGATGAGATGCTGTACCAGGTACTAGGCAGCCACTGAAGGTTCTAGCAGAAGAGAGGCACCCTCAGCTCCAAGCCCCCAGCGTCCATCACACGTCCCCCAAGATCCTGCTCGGCCTCTGTGGGCCACAGGAGACCTGAGAGATGGCTCCCGAGGAGAGCCAAATGTCTGCGTGGACAAGGAGGCTACCTTTCCTGTCCCCACTGCCTCCCAAGCCCCAGCCCCACTCACAGCGTGGGTGGCGCAGTTGGCCGCGTGCTCGTACTCCGTGGGCTGGTAGCGCTTGTGGGGAGGGACCCGGTGGTTCATGAACCTGGAAGGAGGGAGAACCGGGGGTGTTCAGGGGGGACATGCGGCGGCAGCGGGGTCCTCTGGTGGGAGGGGCCCCTCCTGGCTCCTTGTCCCTGCTGCCACCCTCCCGTCCCTCTCGATGACCACGCTGTTCCCTGCCACCTGCCTCCCCACAACGCACGTTCATCATCAAACTTCACTCACTGCAGCTGCTCCTGGAGTTCCAGTGGGCTCCATCCCCCCAAACACCAGCTGCGCACTTAGGACCCCACATAGGTGCAAAGACGGAAGCCACAGGTTGAACCACTGGTACTCGGAGGCTGTGGGCGGGGTGCAGTGCTCTCTCGCTTTTCTCTCCGTTTTATTTTATTTGCAGTACCGGGATTAAACCAAGAGCCCTCACACTGAGCTCCAGCTCCAGCCCTTTTTCTTTTTCTTTTTTTGTACCAGGGACTGAACTCAGGATCTTGCACTTGCCAGGCAGGTGCTTACACCTCAGCTTTCTTTTTAAATTTTGAGACAGGGTCTTACTAAGTAACTAAGCTGTCCAGACTGGAATCAAACTTGTAATCCTCCCGCCTCAGCCTCCCAGAGTGCTGGGATTACAGGTGTGTGCCACCACAGTGGATTTGTAAGGTTTTCTTGAAGTGTAACTTACAGTTTGACTCCCCCTAGTGTATGACTTGGTTACACACACACACACACACACAGGACTCCACTCTGAAGGGCATAGTTCATTTCCTGCCCCCCAAGAAAGTTTCCTTCTGCCCCTCCCGGGGGAAGAAACTGCTCCTCAGAGAAAGCACCCTCTGACACGGCCACTGAAGATTGGTCTCCCTTCCTGGAACCGCCATCCACAGACACAGCACACACGTCCTCTCCTTTATGGCTGCTTCCTCTAAGGTGATTTTTGCAGACTTCTCTCTGTTCCTGGACACACTGACTGGGGTTTTTCAATGTCGTGTGGCTCTCCATGAGTTAAACAGACAATGCAGGGTTTGTTCAGTCTGCTGTAGGTGGTGCTGTACTTTTGAGTGGCGGGGGATGACTCTACCCATGACAACTTTTCTGCATATCATTTTTTTGGTAATCATAAAGTGCTCATTTCTCCTGAGTGCACACCTACATGTGCAATTGCGAGGTGACTTTAAAAATAAATGGTCCTATGTTTGATATCTTTGAAAACGTCAGAGTGTGATCACCTCTGTCTGATCACATCCCCCTGCTCCCAGGACCTCACAAGCTGTCACTCATCCTAAGAATGTGGAAAGCCGGACTTCCAGGAGAACATGGTGGATAGATAACAGCAGCTATGGAGGCTCTCTGAGATAGCCAGCTTAGAATCCAGGAATGGTACAGAGTAAGGAGTCCTAAGCAAGGGGAGATATACCCTGCCGACCCAGGAATGAACTAAGCTGAGAGAAACCAACTGGAAATGCAATCTCGGTGCTATAACTGGACAGATAAAATCTCAGTGCTGAAGCTGGAACCCGCACCTCTGCAAACTGTGGCTTGAATTTCCTGCTGCTGCTGCAGCATCTGAATCAGCACAGCAGGACAGAGACGTGCAAGCTCTGAGAGCAGCAACGGCCAACAGAGTTGAGAGTAGGACTGGCGGGGAGCCCTACATCGACTTGCAGTGAGTGAGAGGAATGGGAACCCTTCCATAAACTAGGAGACTCCAACAGAGGACATTCTGGGACCGAGCAGACTAGCCGGAACAGGAGGCTACAGTGACTTTAGTCGCATATTACCCTCTCAAGCGGGATTGGTGGGGAGCGCTTGGCCTGGGTGACACTGCAGACCAAGACCCAGTAGGCCAGCCCAAACCAGGTCCCAGCACCTGGTGGTTCACCCTAGCAGTGAAGCCTTCAATAGGCTGACCTGGAGGGGTGGGCCCAGCAGAGGCTGCCCAGGTCTGTGTCTCCCTAGTACACTGCAGTGGGTAGGAACACCTAGCCAGTGCAATTCAAACAAACTGAAACCGACAAAGAAAGAAACTGGGTCTCCTATATATGCCTGTATGGAAGGAACAAAAAATGTGAGAAGAGGAGGCCACAAGAAAGGGTCCTCGGCCCTCAATCCTGAGAACACTATTCCAGGAAAGGTAAATGCAAAGGACAATGAAGACAGAAAACATGCAATATCAGACATGGCACCAGTAGACATAAAGCGGTATCTTTGGAGCCTCATACACGAGTTCAAAAGTGAAGTATTTAATGAAGTAAAGCAAGATATAAGTAGAATAGTTAGAGAAATGCTAAGCACCATCCAAGAAAAAACAGATGGTGGAATGGAAGAACAGAAAAAAAAGGGGAGAACTGTTTGATGGAGAAAATAGAGAAAACATAGAATACATGAAGCAGGTTCAAAGAGATGACCAGGAAACTAAAAACTCTATTGAAAACTGGCATAACAGCTTGAAAGAAACTAAGGATAGATTATCTGAACTGGAGAACAGATTTGTAATGTGGGAGCATGAAATGAAAAACTTCTTAAAAATAACAAGGAAACAAACAGCAATAATACAAAGGCTAGAAGATGATAAGAGGATCTATAACTTAAGAATTAAGAATGTAAAAGAAGAAGTAGGGACATAAACAAATGAACTACAAAGGCTATTCACAGAAATAATCCAGGAGAATTTCCCTAATTTAGCAAAAGGTAAAGATACCCAGATGTATGAGACATACAGCCACCTACAACCCAAACAGAGCTACACCCAGGCATATAATAATAAAAATTCCAGAAATCCAGTATAAGAACAAAATATTAAAAGCTGTCAGAGACAAAAGACAGATCACTTACAAGGGAACACCCATCAGAATGACAGCAGACTTCTCGGCACAAACCATCAAATCACGAAGAGCGTGGGGGGAAATAATTCAAGCTTTGAAAGATAATAACCTCCAGCCAAGATTGATATATCCTGTATAACTGTCCCTAGAAATTGATGGAAAAATAAGGTGCTTCCAGGGTAAAGAGGAACTAGGGGAATTTGCAACCACCAATTCAACTCTACAGAGAATACTGCAGGACATTCTAAAAAAGAAAAATACCAAGATTCCAAAAACAGTGGCAGAGAGGCCACAATGAATGGAGCAGAAAGCGAAATGAAGAGGACAAACTGACAACTAATGACAGAAAAAGAGTTCAACAGAAATGAGGCAGAGAAGGTTCGGTGGTAGCAACAGCTATTTTGGAGAAAATAAGACATCATAATAGGTAGTGCTGATTTAATATCCTCTTGTTTTGAAGTCCCATCAAGCTTTTGTTCTTCTGTCTCCATCGGTCTTATAACATGTCGTATCTTATTGGATTTTATTATATGTGATAATATAAGCAAAAACTTTTATAGACAAGGAGATTATACAGAAACCATTGTTCATTTTCTGATAGTTGATTCTAAATACCCTGTAATACCATCATTCTCTTGAATGGTTTTACATTGTCTTGATATGTTTCATGCTACAGTATACCAAGTTATACTCAAACATTTCAAGGAAAGAAACACTATGGTAACTACTTTTATGTCAGGATATCTTGTGGTGAAACACTATTTTGCTTAAACGGTTATGTTTTGACCTGTGCTGTTTTGTTGTTATGTCATCTTTTATCTCAATCTCCTTTTTTATTATTTCCTTTTTTATTTTTATCATTTTAATTAAGGGAAAAAATAAATAAAAAATAGCAGGGTATATTATAGTAACCCACTTTGATTTCCTATTAGCTTGATTTGAAACCCTGTATTGCTCTCACCATCTTGTTTTGACTGATTTTCCTCTATTCTGTTTTGTTTGATAGTACCAAGTTTGAGAGTATAGGCAACAACTGTGAAGACAATAAGATTCATTATGATGCCCATTCTGGTTTGACTATTATCTTCTTTTGAATTTCTGCAATGTCTCCAATGTTTTGGTTTTATTGGTTTTGTTCAATTTTATTATAACTGATGATATAGACAATTCTTTTTAAGACAGCAAGAGGCATTATGGTAACCATTGTTGATCACCTTGTATTTTGTTTTTACATTATGTATTATGTCCATCCTTTTGATTTGACTGACTCTGTTTTGTTATGTCACATTTGGTTTTATTCTCTTCAAAAAAAGTAATAAGAACTGTGGGAGTAATAAAATCCAAAATGTGTAATTGTCATTGTACAAAAGAAAGGAAAAGAAAGTGCTCTAAAGGATATAGCTGCATGTATATTTAAATATAAGAAAGACAACCATATTACTGAGTTTTGTTGGATCATTGAACAGAACTGTTTGCAGTCTCACTGTTTAAATGTCCACTTTATATGCTTTAATTTTGTAACTTGAACAACTATTTCTAAGATGACAATATGTAATCTATTAACTAGTGATTTCCTACTGTTTATTTTTTCTGAAATTCTGTATAACTTGTATCCTTTTTCTGTTTTTTTTTTTTTTATTTAAGAGGAAAAAGAGAAAAACACAAAACAAACCAAAGCGGCGTAAGGGTACACGCAATACAGAACTACAAAACAAAACAAAACAAAACAAAACAAAAAACCATAACAGTAAGAAATTACCTGCTAGTAGATTACACACTATTTTCTTGAAAATAGTTCCTCAAATCACAGTATCAAAGAACACAAGGTGGACATTCAAACAGGGAGACTGCAAACAGCTGTGTTCAATGTTCCAAAAACATTGATAAAGTCAGCTATTTAACACCCCCAGACACACTTGCTGTTATATCCGTTAGAGCTCCTTTTCTTTTTTTTTTTTTTCCCTCTCTTTTTTACAACAAAATTTACACATCTTGGATTTTATTACTCCTTAGTGCTTATTACTTTCTTTGGGGGGGGTCTTTTTCTGTTTTTTTGTTTTTTTTTTCTTTTTCTTTTTCTTTTTCTCCTTAAACAAAACAAAACAAACAAAAAAAAAAGAATGTGGAAAGCCAGGGTCCACTAGATGACAGGTTCCCCTGGGGTGTTGCCAATGTCGTCCGCCAGGGGACGCTAGAGCCCTCTCCACCACCCCTGGTTGCTAAGAGCAGGAAATCAGAGGTGCGTTTGAGCACCTTCTGTAAGCTG